ACACAGACCACACCAGTTTGGTATTTGCACTTTGCCATGATGAATTGCATTATTGCATTTTGGATGCAGTCATTAAGCAGGATATTTTTGCAGGAGGTTATTACTAAACTGCATAAATTCCAAATTATTTGCAATGATATATTGGTGGAAAGCAATATTTTCAATCACAACCATAATACATAGGGTAAACACACCATATTCTGACACTTTAAGGATGTAGCAAGAAATGAATGGCTATAAAAAGATCACCGTATTGGCAACTCGAGTTCTGATTGCTTTACGTCACTCTCAAAACACAACACTAGGTGCCAGTCTGCTTTGCCACTATGGGTGCCAGCAATGATGAAACATCATAAATTGTTGCCATATTTATTTAAAAGCCTTTAGAATTGAAAATCTACAAAATTGCTGATTTGCTGAATCCCGGTGCTGTTTGTGACTAAATTCAGCATATTCGGAAATTGACTAATTCCGATGTCACTGAAATGCGCAGTGTGATGTCCATAGACTTGTGGAGAGAGGACTCCAAAACCATAATTTGTAATTCCCATGCCCTGTGTGAGCCATGGTCATTGGTCAGGAAGATGTGCCAGGTGCGTGGGAATTTATATTGTCATTTTAACGATCTGCGCGGTGCGCCGTACTGTGCCGGTAAAAAAAATGTGCTGTGCGCCGTACTTATAGAAAGCTAAAATAGTTTGAATATGGACGCGGGGCAGCGCAAATTACGTAATCACACTGACCGTACCCACAAACGTGTATCCGCATTGTGTTGTGGTTGGATATGAGCTGCCTAGATTGCTAATGCGTCAACTCAGGACTCGGGTTCTAAGAGTAAGCACCAGGATGGAATTCTAATTTCGAAGGTTCATATATTATTTCAATCCACCAAGACCACTTTTTCGATCCAACATCATTATTTGAGGCAAAAATGAACTTCTTAAAGGCTTAAAACTTGTACGCTAACTTGCTCAGTTTCTATAAAGTACCTAATCACTTGGAAGTTGCAAGTCTGCACCTTTCACTCAACAATTAAAATTAGACTTATAAAAAGTATTAGTTAGTTGAAAATTTGTCTCTTAAGTTGACCGCAATGAACTAAACTTCATTAAGTAATTATAGCTACGCTGCAAAGCAGAGTTTTCCATCATGCACACTAAACACACTATTCAGAGTTCAGACAAACAGAACTACATATCACGTTGGCTAACGTGCTACTGAATTAAATAAGTACCTAGCTTCTTTCCCGCTCCCAGTGCATGATCTAGCGGGTTGATCAATCGTATACTTAATTCGTATACGATTGTATATGAATTACAAATAAACTAATCATTTGTATACTTAGTACAAGAGAATGAATAATTATGTTATTTCTAATCAAACGAACAAAAACTTTTTCTGTTTCTGATCAAACGAACGAAAACTTCTGATCAAACGAACGACAACAAACTTTTTGAAGATAATTGTGAAATCGTAAGTCGTAACATCTATTGAATTCTAATACGGATCATTAATTTTAACATCGTATTTCCAAAAATCAATTATTGCATTTCTTTTAATTGAAAAACATCATTTTACATTAAAAACAACAAATTTTTTCTTACAGCTCCTCAGGAATGACGAATGAATGCTCCTCATATTGACAAATGACGATCTTACTCTTATAGCTAAAAATTTTAAATTGAATGATTTTGTCATTTCAAAGACTCCATTGATTACAGAACTTTAGTTTTTGGAAGTGTATTTAAGAAAAGTTTCTGAAATAGTAGAAACATTTCCATTATCATTCTGAAATAGAAGCGTAATTTCCGTTCTTATATATAAACAGGATTAATAAAATACCTATCTAATCCATCCAGTGTCATTCAATTTGTGATGTATGAACGACAGTTTTACTTTGATTCCTATGATGCTCATTTTTACCGGTTGAAGCTGTAGAATTAAATTAAATTGAAAAATTGAATAAAATTAAATTTTACTAAATCAAAATTTATTATTTAATACCGTACACTAGATGGTACATGCTGTAGAATTGAATTCTATTAGAAAAATGTTGAATTAAAAATCTGAGAGCAGAGCAGAATTAATTCCGATAAAAATCACATTGACCAAAAGTGAACTCAAGAAAATGAAATTTGAAAACAAGGAAATCTTTTTCGAACTGTCTCAAGGCATTTCAATCGAGCAAATTCATCTCAAGATTCATGATGAATTCAACTGGCTCCGTGACACCAAGGGCAACAACGTCAAATCCCGAACTATACGCAGGAACGGACACTTCAAAAGAGCAGAAATTCTTCAGGAGTCTGGTGTAGTCAAAACCGTGTTGAAATATATATATATATATATATGCAAGTTTGATTGAAGACCAGAGCATGCTTTTTATTAACAATCTTCTTGTTCGTTTTTTCAATGAGTCGAACCAAATTTCTTGCTGGCGTCTGGAGATCGAAAAGCAGGTTTCCGAGTGACATTTTAATAGTATGCGACATAGTGGCAAAGCAGAGAGTTTTTTAGACTCTCTCTCAAGTTCATTTTTGAGTCCTATAAGTAGACCAGTAAAGTATCCTGGATACCAGCATCATCATACATAAGAAATTGATTTAAATCTTGGGTAAATGAGGAAATTAAAAATGAACTGAAATTCAACCGATTCTAAAAAATCTCTGGTTTGTCACTATGGTATGCGACGTTTCAAAAATATATTTTTCATTATCAAGCTGGTGAAGGTTTTGCAACATCTGAAATTGAATTTGAAATAACTGAAGTACATATCAAAGGTAAAGTGGATACAATAGGAAATATTAGCTTAAAAATTACTCCGAAAATAATTTCAGCGTCTGGACGAATCCAGTCGTTTGGAGGTTGATAACCGGAGACTCGCTCTTGATAATGAGGGCCTCAGCTATCGTCAATCTCGATGGGTCGGGGCACCGCATAACTATGCTGGTGCAGGCTTCCAATGTCGCTCGGGTGATGGTCTCATTGTGAGTCTCCCGCATCACCCGAGCGACATTGGAAGCCTGCACCAGCATAGTTATGCGGTGCCCTGACCCATCCTGCAATAAAGAAGGTTGTAGACTTCTTCCTAATATGGACTACATCGGGCTCACAACCATGATTCTCAGCCGACGTCTCACCTGCCACCTTCAGTTTGGAGGACCAAGGAATCACTTGAAGGAGGCCCACAACTAGACCATCACTCGCCTGATATTGGAAGAATGCACCAGTATCGTTATGCGATGCCCTGATCCTATACGACTGGCGATAGCTGAGGCCCTCATCATTAAGGAGAGGACTCCAGCTATCAACCTTCAAACCACCGGCTTCGTCAGAACTTTGAGATTGTTTTCCGAGTAGTTTTTTTCGCTTTCAATGCTTCCTGTAACTTGAAAATGAATGTTGTTACATTTGAAACGTTGTTAATACATTGATATTACTACCTTGAACCTGCATTTTGATCAACTAATGTATCTGAAGAATATTGTTCGACTCTGAAAATTTAATTTGACGAATTCTCTGGTCATTAACCAACCGTGTTGAAATATCTGTTATAGTAAAGCTTTAACATAGCATATCATGTTGAAGACAATGGTAGTAGCAGGAATCGATGTCTACTTGATCATATTGGTCTAAAATTGATCATAAAGGCTCAATAATATTCAGGTCTAGTGATTGTAGTGGCCAAATGAATTGCTCAACATCATTAGGATGTTCTTCATGCCATTTTTTAACAATTCCTGCTATATGGATTGGGGCATTATCATTGTGAAAGATGGCATTCCCCTTCAGAAACTGTGCTTCAATCATTGGATGAACTTGGTCCGTCAAATTCTTGAATAGTCATGGCTGTTAATTCTTCCATGAAGAGAAATCATTGGACCACTAGACTTGCAAGAAATAGCTTCCCAGATCATCACAGATCCTCACCATTTTTTATGGTTGGGAGGAGGCAGTCTGGATTAAATGACCCATTTGCTGTCTTCAAACATGAACTTGGCCAGAGGGTGGAAAAAAGTTAAATGATGATTTGTCAGAAAATCACATTTTTTCACGGTTTAGGAAACCAACTCTGAATGTTTTTACACCACTTTGAACACTTAGAAGCATTTGTATATGAAACCAGCAGAGGTTTTCTAATTTCAGCTCTTGCAAAGAATCCAGGTCTGTGCAGCACTTGGTATACTCATGAAATCTATGGTAGCTGGGTTCTGTAGGTGTCTATTGAGCTCTGTAGTAATTTTATCAGCCATGGTTTTTCAATTGTCCCTCACAATTTGATTAAGGTACCAATTGTCTCTCAGACAACTTCATCTTTCAGCCCGACCTGTGCTTTGCCGAGGACATTTTTCCTTCTCTTTCATAAACAGTCATAACTTTTGAGACAGTTCCTCCACAAATATCAAGCATTCAGGAAATTTCTGTCACACTAGCACCTGTAAAATGGGCACCAAAAATTTTGCCTCTTTGGATGTCAGAGGGGTTTGCCATTTCCTGGTTGTATGTAATGTTATAGACACAAAAATTTACTAAAAATATCTGTGCAAGGATAAAATATCAGCTAGCAGTAACTATAAAACTTGAAAATATGTCACCTTTCCAATGTTTATAATCTGTTCAAAAATTACAATATCAAAATTTTGGTTGTTTCCCTTATTTTGTCTTACCCCTGTTGTGCTAGGTTTTAAACACGTACATAATCCAGTAGAATTTGACAAATATTAAGACTTGCAGTCAAAATTGTTGTTCTGAATTTTGATCATTAATCAGTATTATATTTATATGATATATTAAAAAGAAGCAAGGTAAGTGCACAAGGTGCATCTGTTAACGTGCTAAGGAGCACCTTGTGTGTCATTGCTGCTAGATGATAAGAAAATTTGATTACAATTAATCGAACGTTATTGAAAAAATAGCATTTATATCATTATAAGATTTATATTCTTAGTGCCAAAATTATCAGATGAGATAACAAGCCATCCCTTTCTTCTCCCTTTCAGCTGTAAATTCTTGCATGGTCATTTGTGCATTTGTTTTATTTTCACTTTTTCAGATTTCTTGACACAAAAGAATCATTCTGATATCAATATGGCTGGAGTTCCTGATAGAAACTACCTTCTCTCTGTTTTCCAGAAGTAAGTTTTTCATTAAAGCTCAAGAATACTGAACTATTGAATGGCTGTATTGTTGAAAAACTAATTTATGTTTGATACAAGTGCCATTTTAGGAAATTTTACCTTGCATTAGAATCTTATGTACAAGATTATACATGAAGAATGATGGTATATGTTGAACTGTATTATAAATTTAATAGGGAATTTTTTATTGGGTTACTTATTTGTAAAGGTAATGAGTGCCAGGAAAATATTTATTTATATATATATCATCAAAAATAATTGCTGAAAAAACAACCTTCTGTTTTATACTTATGATATTTTTGAGCAATTTCATGGTTCAATCTACCGTATATAACTATAAGGATCTATCTAGGAGGCAAGTTTTTTAGGTAAGGACCGTTTTGGAATTAAAAAATGATGTGCAAAGATAACGCAATTTTTTTTTACATGAAAGCCTGTACCTCAGTCTACTTTTCTACATAATTTCTGTGAATATTGAGGGACTTCTCATAACATGGCACCAGTTTTTGAATATCCTCCTGATAAAATTCTGCTGCCTGACTTGGAGGTGAAATTCTACTGAAATTCTGAATTCTGCTGAGATGGAGGTGAAATTCTGCTGAAAAATACCTGAAATTCTGCCGCCTAACTCATCAGAAAGAAGAAATTTCAGGCGTTTTCAGCAGAGTTTCACCTCCATTTTAGCAGAATTTCACCTCCAAGTCAGGCGGCAGAATTTTGTCAGAAGGGTATTCAAAAACTGGTGCCACGTTATGACAAGTGCCTCAATATTCATGGAAATTATGTAGAAAAGTAGATTAAGGTAGAGGCATTCATGTAAAAATAAAATTATTGCAACATCTTTGCATGTCTTTTTTAATTCCAAAACAGTCCTTACTTGAAAAACATGCCCCGTATATAAAATTATAAGGAGTAATAAATACCCAAGATGACTGTCAGCCAGCTTGCTAGAAGGGATTTAATTTGTAACTACATTCTAACAATTATATATGCCCTAGAGTTGACAAGGATCGCAGTGGTGCCATAGATGCTCTGGAGCTACAGACTGCTCTCTCTAATGGCAACTGGACCCCCTTTAATCCCGACACTGTGAGACTCATGATAGGTGAGACCAGCACTGGAGATTTGAGTGCAACAATAAACCCTCTGCTCATTATCCTTGCTCAGCAAAAAATTGCACTTCATTTTTTTCATTTTTAGCACCTGATCTTCCATTTCCTGCTTAAGTAACATCTGCAATGCTGAGAATTGATCAATTAATATCTTTTAACTCAAAGCTAGAGCAAATATCTTTATTCTGTATTATCAACGTATCAAATTTGTCATACTAGCATTTTATAATACCTAGCTGTTTTCTGTTTATTTCCTATGTGAATTTTTGCTGATCTTCTTGATTTTCATCTCAAATGCAAGTTTTTTCTTCAAAGCTTTTAAAATGTTATCAAAATGAATGAAATTAGAAATTATCATCTGTCTGAAAAATGATATGTTTTTGCAGGTATGTTTGACAAAGCCAACAAGAATGTTATTACATTTGAAGATTTTATTCACCTATGGAAATATGTGACGGACTGGCAGCAGGTATTCCGGTCCTTTGACCGAGACAACTCCAACAACATCAATAAAGAAGAACTCAAAACTTGCCTCACTACTTTTGGTTACAGGTAATGTGGCTTGTAGAATATTTTTATGCTTATGGCAGCTGTTGTTGGAGACACTTATTCTCAAATTTGATTGTAACTTACAGTGGTACTTGCCTCTCAGCAATTGGTCACGATAATTGGTGCCAAGGGTTGTTTCTTCTAATCTTTCTTATACTTACTTTGTTCAGCTATGTATATGGATGAGGTTTCTAAATCATCTCAAGATTTAAAATTCTTTAAAATTTCTTTAAGATTTTTAATTCTAAATCATCTCAAGACCTCCCTTCATTGCTTTCTAATTGCAAAACTGGGTTCTCACTTTTACTCTATAAATTTATTATTTTTGCATTCATGAATCTTCAGTTGATGGTTAAACAAATCTTTGAATTATTTTTAATGAAGATCAAGTGAAAGTGTTTTTATTGACATGTTGTTTGTTTTTGATTGATTTGAACAAATGAATGAATTTAAGACCTGGGTCCTGATCATATATCTATAGTTATATTTTTTTTGTGCGACCTGTGTTCTCATTTAGCTTCTTTAAATTGGGGCTGATATTCTGAAAGTTGATTCTATGTTGTCTCAATTATTAAATAATAAATCTTGACAGAGTTAGTAATGGAGCTCTTGCATTTACTTTCAATTACGTTTGTTATTGCTGAAACCTTTGTGCCTGCATCATTTAATTACCATTGCTCACTTTTGTTTCAGATTCTCAGAGCCATTTTTTGACGTGCTGATGCAGAAGTTTGACAGGACGAGGAAAGGCGTAATCTATTTTGATGACTTCATTCAGTGCTGCATTGTGCTACAGGTGGGAGGCGTGATTATTGTCATGAAATTCTTTCTTGAAATTTCGGCAATTCGATTAATTTTACTTTCATTTGTTTAAATAATTACAGATAAGATGATCTAACAGGAAGGTTTGTGATAATCGTTTCAAATGCAAGCTGAAGAACAGCTCTCGCTAGTCTCTGAATTGTAATGACATTTATTCCCTGCAGGCTGCCTTACATCCTTCAACATTCAGTGATGAATCCTAATCAATGAATGTTATTTAACATACCTACTTTTTGCTGAACCGCGTCCTGGTACAATGAATTTGATTTAACACAATTTTTGCTAAACTGCGTTTTGGTAACACATTTTGTGGCCGAACTTTGATTTTAATCAAATATTATTCTATTTTTTTTATCTCAAACTCGTCGCTGAACGCAATGAATTTTATTACTACAGACCTGAGTCTGATTGACGTTAAGATGTCAGCCCTGCTACGTGTATTAAGAAATGCCTGTATGAAATATTCTCGCAATGTTTTTCCAAATTTTGGTACCTGCTTGAGTTTTGGGGGCATTATGTGTGCGAGCTCAATTTTGTGACGTTTTTATATCTTTTGCTGCTGTATGGAAGCTGTCTGGCTTGTCGAAACGCTTTTGTATTAATATTTATTCTCACCCCAAAAATTTTTACCCGAACATTTTAAAATACCGTTACTCGCCTTTGCGTTTCTGACCTTTGCGTTTTCCGTCCTCTGGATGCGTGTATCTGAAATTTCGGTGCGTTTGTCATCAAATAAGTTTGTCTGTTATGCATACATCGGGTGTTGTTAGGCCTAAGTTTTATTGGACCCGCAGCGTTATCTTCACAAATGCGTTTGTACAAAGACGGAAATTCTTATCCGCAATCTGCTATCATGCTTCAGTTTCCTTCATACGCCTATTACTCTCATCCGTCAGCTGCTATCATGCTTCAGTTCCCTTCATGCGCCGATTCGAAAAATCCTTCTTGGATAACGTGTGCATTGTATGCATTTTAATCCTCGTGGCCTTAGTCTACACTTAGATAGATTTTCATCATTTCACTCTATCTATATTCATGAGATTACCATTAGTCTCCAACGCCACAAACGTTAATTATGCTCATTATGACCGAGATGTACTAGGAAGCTCGTATAGCCTATCTTGGTTTAGTTCTATTAGGGATGAGCCCATAGGCTGTTTGATTCGATATCTAGATGCCCGTTTCCGTTTAAACGCGTTACTTACCTGCTAACGACAGCAGGTATAGCTGCTTTCATCGTTAGCTGCACATAATTAAAACCCATAGCTGCACATAATTAAAAAAATCTCAGTACTCACTGCAGTGAGTGACAGAGCGCACTTTCTCGTCCACGAAAACGTGAAGTCACGGACAGACAGACGTACGGACGGACGGACGTGCATGACGAGCACAATAGCGCCTTTTTTCCATAAATGAGAAAATGCGCTAAAAATAAATTATTAACGATAGTGTGATGACGTTTGTTTTCGCTTTGGATTAAGGCAAAGTTTTGTAGAGGAGGCTAAGCTATTTGCTTGTAGCAGTTATTGTCGAGGAGACGAAGCGAACATGTGTCATGCGGTCCTAGGGTCGTTATGAGAATGTGGTATTCCTCAAATGTTGGCCTTGGGATCAAGGAAGTACAAAATCGACCTTTAATTTATTTAAGGCTGTTATATGTACTATTAGAATGTTTGAAGTTAATTCAGAACCTTCTTCTGTTGCTTGAATAAATTACCTATAATTTTTGGTTGTGCGAACTCATTGGTTGCGCTGTATATCGTAGCAATATGATTTTTGGTACAAGTCCACCCGTTTTTGGTTGAGTTAAGACCGTGGTTGTGGTTGCAGACGATGACGGCAGCGTTCAAGGAGCTGGACGAGGGCAAGACCGGCATTGCCACGGTCTCCTATGAGCAGTTCATGATGGCCACAACAAAAATCTTTTAGCTTCCACTCCCTAACATCTCCATCTGCTTTTCTGTTCTGCTTCCACTCCTCTATCATCTTCATCATTTTTACTTTCTTACTCACTGTGTAGATGCCTTCTTCAGTCTTCCTATCCGCCCTCTTAATTCCTCTTGTTCCATTTATTATTTTCTGTCATCCTCGATGTTCCAAACTCTTCTGTTACATCCTCCTGGTCTATTGTGTTAAGCTGAACAACATCCTTACCTTCATGTATAGCATCACTTCTTTTTCCTCTATTTCCTCCTTGACATTAGCACTTGTTTCACTTTCACCTAGTCCTTCACAAAACGCGTTCTAGAATCGTTGCCGATACGCAATTCTTCCCTCTTGATGGTTCTCATTTTGCTTGAGTTTCTGAGTTGTTTTTTGGACGATATACCGGTAGATATCGCCACTAGTCTACTCCTTCAAGAATATATAGCATTTTCAGTTACTTTTTTGTGCAAAGTTAGATTTCCTTTTATCCTGTCTGACATTTCTGTTCGTTTATTAAGAACTTTAAGGAGACGGTGTTAGTCATCAATGAAGTTAGATTTAAAAACATCTTGTTCTGTTAGGCTTTTAATTGATGTTGTACGCGGGTGTAATCTTCGTACATAAACTCATTATGTTATGAGTCCAAGCGGCTTTCCATCATCTAACGATAAGCAAATTATTCTCGTCACTAAAAACTCGATGTTTTTATGTCAACTCATTTGCGTTGGATAATTGAATAAAACGTGTGATGTAGTTGCCGATGCTGCAACCCTCTAAGTCCATTTCGATGTAGTTAATATAGAGTGTACACCGCCTTCAATGTGAATCTCATGTGCACAGTAAAATAATTAGTAATTAACAAACAAACTTAATGTTCAAAGTTTCACCAGTTGGAAATCTCTCCTTCTTGTAACTAGATTCGTGGTTTCTTGTGATCGGCCATCAAATTGCCATTTTTTTTCCTGAACTCGTCACACTTTCCATAGACAAAATTAATTTTTTATTGAGCGCCAAACAGGTTACGTTTTTTGAGGTTGGCTCAGAAGTCAGGTAGGTAACCTTATACTGTATTAAGGCAACAACGAATCTCATTCTTCAACTCGAGCTTTAGGAACAGTCGAGTAGCAACACTCCTGTGTTGCGGCTGTGAGAGCGATATGTTCTCGAGGTATGAAATGTCGTGTTTCTGGACATGATCTCGCCACTGACTCATGCTGGCAGCTGGGTGTTTCAACTCATTAAACCGTTGTAATGATAGTATTATTTATGATCAAATTGTCTTGCTGCCAATACTCTATAATTGTAAATTACGGAGGGTGTCGAATATTACCGGTTGATGTCATTCGTGGCCGTGACTGCCTTTTACGCTTGAAAGTCGTTGTTTTGATTCGTGACCTAAATCGAGTTATAATTATCATTACGCGGAGTTTCTTTACAGACCAAAATAGGCTAGTTTAAAGGTTAGAATGAGAACATGACCACACTTGCAATAAATCTTGTGTTTAGTCGTTCAACATTCAATGTTTTCAAGTTATATTTGCTTACGCTCGGCCAGTTTTTCAGGTCTCATTTTGTATCAGGTGAACCACTCGTATGAGGAAATGACCGACCAAACCATCGCCAAATTAGCGTGATGAATGCAGAGTCTATTGATGGACTGGAGTACTGTACTAAATGAGATACCGCTTGCTGGTGCGGCGTTGTCTTGAATCGACTTCATGATTGTAGTTTATGATCAAATTTTCGTTCGCGAATACTTACGACAAACGCAACTTTTACCGAACCCGTAACTTTAGAGCAGCTTTATTGTTATAGAAAATTATTTCAACCTTTAATAAGATATTGAATTGGTGTCTCAATGATTTTAATTCCTCCTGTTTGCGTAGAAATGGATTCAGTGTGTGTTTCGATGGCGAGTTTCCCGCAAGGTTGATTGCATTCATTGCATTCAAAGATTGATCTCATTTCCTATGCGAGCCTGTGAACGAAGAATGGCATCTAGTAACAATTTATCACTCACATTATAACGCTGCGGAAGTACCGTTTCTGTATACTTGCTTAATTTTCTCTGTTATTTAATTTGACTGGGATTGGTTGTGAAGCTTATGCCAAATTCAACATCGGCCACTGAATTCCGATCAAGACGGAATGGAACAACACAACAAGTACAATGGGACAACAATACGACTTAAGTACACAACAACAACTCCTGATCATGAAGTTATTGTTTTGTGATCCAATGTGGAAATATGAATTGTCAGTCAACAAATGACTCGATTGTTCACTCAGATTAATGCTAAAGACCGAAGTAGAACTTACTGAAGAATGGGGACCCGCAATACTGAGCTGTAACTCAACCCCTAGCGAAAACATAACCTCTGGCATTGTGTATGAGGTAATACAGATTAGCTTGAACATTATTTGCTGCAACACTGAAATGCGGCACTATGTCTCCGTCCGTTCTTATGTAGCCACTTCATCCCAATGGTACATATTGGTTGATGCTACGGGTATAAAGCATCGCATGATGTATCCACAATTTTGATAGTATCTATCGCTTCAAGCGATCATTTTTCGCAAGATTTCATGTTTCAGGGGTTGTCCTATCAATCGCTTAAATACACGATACGGCCTAAGTAGAGGTTACAGCCTATTTTCGTCTATGTTTGGTAGGTCTTGCTAGAAAAAGCCGTCAGTAATCGGCTGACGGAGTTACAAAGTCATAATATGGGACAACTATTTATACTGTGACTATTATACTGTAACTAATTTTTATAGTACCACCTATGAGATTATGATTGTTAGGTTAGCTTGAAAAGCCGTAAGTAATTGGATGACGGAGTTACAAAACGCATAATATAGTACAACTATACTGTAACTATTTTTGATGGTACGACCCATGAGTATATAATTAAGTGAAGACGTAGTCACCCGTGCCTACCTCCAACAGATGCTGACGCAGGCGTTTGCAGCGCAGGACGTAGAGCGTCGTGGCGTCATCACGGTTGGCTACGAGCAGTTCCTGGGCATGATCTTCAGCACGAAGCTATAGTCCCGCCGTCTGCGTGCGCTGCCCTTCACCGCTACACGCGATAAACTTACAGTCCTTACTACCAGCTACAGTTGTTACTATAGTTCTGTCGAGTTAGTCTCTTCCAGCTACAGTAAATATTACATTGAGATTTACTGTTATATAATGTTATAACATTTCTGTCAAGTTAGAATCGTCAAGCTGTTTTTTACAATATTGTCGAGTTTTCCTCTTCTTGTTGAAGTTTGTATCAAGAAGGAGTACTCATTACTCATATCCTCGATGTTTGTAGTCACTTACTATATTTTCATGTTATTGCCAAATTTTTATACTTCACTTTCTATTATACCATTAATTGCTCATTATGGCATGTTACCAACAAACTGAAATCTCATGTTACGCGAGAATTTCAGTTCTGGTTGCTTATTTTAAACATTCACAAATATTGTCCAAAAATGTGGTATTGTTGATAATTTACTCCATCTGAGTGACGCTCTCTTATTATTACTTGTGAACCATTCCTTTCTTCTTGTGACGTCTTGAATAGCTTGTATAGCTCGTCTTTTAATGTTGTCGTGTTTCTTTGAATTTCCTGCTGGCTTTCTGCCTCGTTGTATTGACCGGGAAGTTGTCGATAAGACAATTGTCACTTTCAGAATATTAGAATATTATCTTCTGTGTGTAAGTGGTGTTATTCTGAGGGTCAATATTGCCATTATTCTTAGATTGTTTCCTGAGATTATGCCGGAGTGATGAGCAGCGTGACCCTGAAGTCATTCCTCGTCTGGTTCTGAAGTAACTCCTAGGGTTATCCTGAGGTTATTCTAGGGGTGAATGATCATATGCTTCATTACTTTCGACACTTTTTCAAGATGTAATTTACTCAGAATTCACCTGAATTCCCTGACGGCCCTGCGTTTTTTGCCCTCCCTAGCGAGAACCTACCTTTACTCTTATTCTTTCGTCCCGGGCACCAGATGTCATGGCCTCCTCTCTTTGGTCCCAGAAAAGCCATATGTGTGCAACAATAAGAGATTTAAGTGTGATTTTAACTTAACAGTTTCTTTACATGTCTATCTTTTTATCATAAACATTTTGCGTGCAGGTTTTAGTCCGAGTTATAATTCAGGCCTCGTCATGGTTAAAATTTGGGTTCCGACGACATTGTTTTTTCATCAGGCCCTTCGTGTGAAGTTCTCACATTAGTCGTTTAGTTTACTTCTTGTTAGATGTTCGACTTTACGATTAGGCAACCTTATCTTGACTGAAAAAGTGCACTATTTGTGATTTTATGCCAGCTGATATTGTAACTAAGCCAAATTTTATTGAATAATTTCTAGGGACGATATACATCAGAATTGAAAACCAGTACATTGACTATATTTACGCTATTCATTTGCAGGTAAGGTTAAATTTCCTGTTATGGAGGCAATGTTTAATGCCATTTCGTCTAATCCTCCTAGTCTAATTTACTGTGAATTTATTTCTTTCGTTTCAAGTTCATAAGTTTTGGCCTTACGTTAAAAGGAACTAGTCTTCGTTTTTGTGAACCGATGGTTGGACCGGCTCACCGCGGACGCATTTCATAGATATTCTTCTACTTGTCCTTCTCTAATGCCTATGTATCGCATAATGAAATGCTGTAGATAACACACCCAACAAAAACGAAAACACAGTCTGAACATTAAGAATGTCTTGGAATCGCGTACTATGGAATGTTAATTCATCAGTTGTAAGAAAATGTGATTTTAATTCTTGCCGTAATAATCTCTCTTGTTCTTCTAGTGAAATAATTTTATTTGTTTGTCTGGTTGCAAGCCTTGTCTCAGCACAACGGATGGGAACTTAAGAGTCACGCTTAATCTCACGTAAACCGTCTCAACTCGACAGGTTCCCATTGCAAGAGGTCGGGGCATGCGTCAGGAACTTGTAAATACCCTTACAATTTTATAAATTTCTTGTATATCAAGAATATTTCAATGTAGTTCTACCAATGTTTATTAGTTGTAAGGCCCCAAATTCAGTGCACCATGAATTGTCGCCAGTGACTAGTATGCATATGACTCAATATGCATTACTGTACACATAAATTTTAGGGAATACAGAGTATTCCTTGCTGCAAGTCCAAGTCACACAAGAAACTTTTGTTAAGACTGATGCCGAATATTTGGCTTGAAACGTGCATGTTTAGAAGTAGGTTTTTGTAACACGTGAATTATGTAAACTGCTATTGACAAATAAACTTTGAATTAATTGCAACAAGACCTTTCCTCGCCAACGTTTTTCAATAGTGTCAAATCTAAGCCGGATTCTTGCAAGTCTTACTAACAGGTAAAAGCAATTGAAATTCCACAAGAAACGTAAGTTCGTACCAGAAATGGGTACTCGTAGAAAACAATGTGTACTGGTAAGTCTCGTAAAGGTAAGAATATTGATCAGTGGGCATAATGATAAGAAGGCAGGAATCGGCAGGCGTTCGTTCTTATGGATTTTCTAACCATATAATTGAGCCTCCTACGAGTCTCTGGATATCAAGTATGTAGTTATGTATCGTAACGTGAAAATCCTTCTGTACGTAATGGAAGCCAGCAAAGTCGACTTATTTAGGGAAACACGACTAGTGGTTTCTAGCGAGTGTATTTTCCATTCCTGAAATGGTGACAATAAGCGGTTTACTCGATGATGTTTCATGCTAAAACAATATCGATTTATCAACATGAAAAGTGACACTCTACCAAATGTATGCCTGAAATGCGAACAAAATCAATACAACCATCATTCGTGGGCATTACATTCGATCAAAGAAAATCTCCGTTGTGCCCTTTACTTGGTTTTTACAACTAACAATTCCACATGCGCTGTTTAGCTACTTGAAGATTCTACGTGAAGTACAAACCATATACAGTGGGGGGAAATAAATATTCGTACACTTGAAAAATCGTATTTTAATGTATGTAAGTACACAAACTTAACAGGAGAAGTGATTTATATTATGTATAGAGGCGCATTGTGTTCAAAAATAGCATCAATAGAAATTAAATCTCAATGCAACAAAAATTAATGCAACATGTTAACTTCTTCGGGTCAAAAAAGTATTCGTACAAAACAACTTTTGGTTAATATTTCACACCAGAACATTCCAGAATGTACTAGAAACATGTAGCACGTTCCAGTAATGTAATCAGTAACCATAGTTAACGTATTTTTGCAACTACCAGATCATTCTGCAACTGCCCGTAGTACAAGAAGGTCTCAAAAATGGCTAAAGGTAAAGAACTAACAAGTTCCCAAAAACAACTAATTCTATCGCGTTGGAAGGAAGGAGGAAGTTATAGGAAGATTGCTAGCCACTTGAATGTTCCTTTTAGTACAGTTGCTTCGTTCATTGGACGCTTCAAGACCCGTGACAGCGTTGAAAACCAAAGACGATCAGGTGCTCCTAGGAAGATTTCTGCACGATCTGCTAGATTATTGGGACGAAAAATCCAAGAAAATCCACAGATTACTCGAGGAGAGTTGCAAAGTCACCTGAGTGCCTCAGGAATTCAAGTACCAAACGAACGATAAGCAATGAACTTCACAGAAACGAATTAAAATCACGCACCCCAAGAAAGACCCCACTCCTAATGAAACGACATCGAGATGCCAGGCTGAAATTCGTCAAGGAGCATAAGGACAAAGACTATGCTTTTTGGGAAAAGGTTCTTTGGACGGACGAAACAAAAATTGAGCTTTTCGGTCGAAATTATCGTCACCATGTGTGGAGGAAAGACGGTGAAGCCTACCTTCCAAAGAACACTGTGCCTACTGTAAAGTTTGGTGGTGGCAACATCATGATCTGGGGCTGTTTCTCCGCAAAAGGTGTTGGTAACATATCACTTATAGATGGTAGGATGAATGCTGCAAACTACCAGAGCATCCTGGAAAATAATTTGACGACTTCTGTTGAGAAACTAGAGCTACCTGGTGATTGGATTTTCCAGCAGGATAACGATCCTAAGCATACTGCAAGATCCACAAAGAAATGGTTCGCTGATAGAAATGTACACGTTATGGAATGGCCAAGCCAGTCGCCGGACTTGAATCCGATTGAAAATTTGTGGCGGTATTTGAAGATTCAAATTAAGAAAAGGTCCCCAACAAACATTGAGAATCTTAAGGTGGTGTGCCAAGAAGAATGGTATAAAATACCAGTCAGCATCTGCAAATCATTGGTCGAGACGTATAGAAATAGACTGGTAGGTATCTGTTGAGCTGAATAAAGGGTATTCAACCAAGTATTAAATTAAAATAATGCGGATTTATTGTTTTGTACGAATACTTTTTCCACCCGAAAAGTGAACATGTTGCATTGTTTTTTGTTGCATTGAGATTTAATTTCTTTTGATAGTATTTTTGAATACTATGCGTCTCTATACATAACTTAAATCACTTTTCCTGTTAAGTTTGTGTACTTACATACATTAAAATACGATTCTTCGAGTGTACGAATATTTATTTCCCCCACTGTAAGTCTTGTTATTCATCTTGTATTGTTGCGATGGAGATGTTAAGCATTCAAAAAAGGTAACAGAAAATTACACAATTACCGAAAATTTATTTAGTATTATGTATATAATGACGTGGCATATTTCGTAACTACCAGCAGTTATGATTGAGACACGAGAAAGACTGAAACTAGACTTGAAATAAAAACGGAGATCCGAAGGTGAAAGTTTACTGAAACTAAACAAAACTCTTATGCAGTTTGTTGCTGCCCTAAAGGATTCTTGACTACGATGATTACCGAATCACCTCGTAGGAACATCTTTTGCATGAATCTGGAAAGATAGAATTAATGCATCACTTTTTATTGTAAGAAATGAAATAATGAAAATTACGAAAGCAATCAGTAAGCTATGTCTTCAATTAGTCATAATGACTAAATCAATATCAAATGTTTATTATAGGGACCAAAATGTTCATTCTTCAGTTTCATTCGTACATTTCATTTTGGAATTGAGAAAAGCTAAGTGTAAGATAATAGATACATGTTTGAAGCAAATCAAGATCTTTTAATTTAGCTGGATTACACGTACAAGTTTGTTCCTAGCTAAAGAAGCCTGATAACCTCACCTCCACACAACGGCCCTTAAATATTAAAGCCCTTCAGAGGTTAAAACTCCTCGAACGTGCTTTATGAATTCCCTAGCAACTTCATTCTCATTTCCTTTCCTTTTCAGACAAGCATTGGTGACTTAGCTTGCTGATCGCTTCCGGAACGCCTCATCTGCATTGTGGGCCCCTCTAGAATCAACTGCATGACGCAAGTTTATAATTCGTTGTTCTTTATCAAATATGCTGCTTCATTAGCTTAAATTTTTATTTCAAATTTTCTGCACAAAGTTTGAAATTTAAATTGGCCAGCATAAGTTGCGAGAATTTTACAATGCATAAATAGAATTATTCTATGCTGTTGGGAATCAAACTATAAAATGAAAGCATTTAGCCAAGTTTTGCTTTGAAATTTGTCTGCCGATTGCACCAAATAGAATAATTAACACGTATCCTACAGAGCACCTAATTAACATTCCTAGTGAAATGCTCATTGAGTGAAGTTGCAAGAACACACCTGCTTGTCGGTCAGATCAGGCTTTGCAAAGCCTGTTTACTACTGCGTTCGCGAAGATGGCAGCTACACTTCCCCCAATTTACGCTATGTGGAAAATTATTCCATGCAGAAACGACACACCTGGAGAAGAAGTCTAATCTCAATTACATCTGCTGCGTTCTTTAGCAAACTTCAAGCTTAGTATTGTTATAATGATATAACATGATTGTTACATACAGTTCGACGTCATAGTCAATTGCTTTCACAAGAAAGTCATTTTATCTTTGCTTCTGCCGAGCCCGTTCATTCGAATAGTTTAATTTGTGCTAGCTTAGCACAGATAGACGAGCAGCAAGTGGCAGAATTCTTTGCAGGAAGTTTGGTTGTCTGGGGACTTTGAACAATACTTCATGAAAATCTTTTCTGGTGAATTTTACTTTTTTGGCAAGGATTACCGTGCATAATGTATCATTAGGGCAATTCGTGAAAAAAAAAACACTAAATACATTTATAACCTCTTTTAGCGCCCATTGCGATTTTCATATTCGTTAACTTCGGTCGTTCGGTGTAATGGACTAGACGTTGACTCGGTAAAAACTGCAAGTAAATATCTTTTTGTGAAATAATTATAGGTCAACCTAGAAGATATTTTGTTTAGGAATAATTTACTACCTTGTAATATGTACTTGATCGTGAGCGATTTTAGATTTATCTCGAAGCTGTTCAGTTTATTGTCCCGCCGTTCGCGTGGCTACTTGATACTGACTAGATGACGATTGACGAAGAAACATTGAATGGGATGTGTCCTCAAATGTTTTCTTCTACAACGGAAGTTATCTAAAAAAATTGGTATGTGGTACACTTCTGTAGATTAATTATAGAGAAACTAAGCGAGATGACTATAAATTGATCATTGAACTCAATCATATGGAACTTAACTACCCGTTTGTGCAGCTGTACAGGCCTGATTCTACCTCAGCATGAATACCCACATGAAATATTTGAATTAGACATAGTAAGAGGACTAAATTATGGGGTATAAATCTTTCACAAATTCACTTTACCTTCGGCTTCAAGTTGGATCACATTTAATATGATAATATCTGAAGGCGCTGAAGACGCTCAAGTGCAAGACATGAGGCGAACAATAGATCGATCGAATGCGGCGGAGAATCAGGCGATTCCGTAATTTTAGGAGCTGACGCTGTGAGAGAATAGGGAGCGCAGCCGTGCACCACCAATTTTGTGCACCAATAAGCCCTGAATCGAACGCCTGTGATCTCTCCGGACATCCACTAATTAGCCGTGAACAGAGGTGGGCAGTAGCGCGCTACATGTAGCGGCCGCTACATTCTCAGTAGCGGTAGCGGTAGCGACGCTAAATTTAAGGCAATGTAGCGGTAGCGCCCGCTACATATTTAAGTAGCGATACGATTTTTTGCCGCTACAGCGCTACCGCTACATTTATAGATAAAGCCTTTAGATTTTACTTAATAGTATTAAATATTATTTAAAAACCAGCATGATACATAAATAATATAAATTACAGAATAAAACTGTACGAAAGATTTCGGTGTAATGTTGTCAACCTCAGCCTGTTGCTAGTGTTAACATGTTAGTTGTTACTTGTTAAGTTGTTACCACTTACCACTTACAGGTATTTTTTCAT